AAAGATTAACAAAATAGATAGACCACTAGCCGGACTAATAAAGAAGAAAAGAGAGAAGAAAATAGACACAATAAAAAATGATAAAGGGGATATCCCCACTGATCCCACAGATATACAAACTACCATCAGAAAATACTATAAATACTCTATGCAAATAAACTACAAAATCTAGAAGAAATAGATAAATTCCTGCACATATACACCCTCCAAAGACTAAACCATAAACAAGTCGAACCCTGAATACACCAATAACAAGGTCTGAAGTTGAGGCAGCAATTAATAGTCTACCAACCAAAAAAAGCCCAGGACCAGAAGGATTCACAGCCAAATTCTACCACAGGTACAAAGAGGAGCTGGTATCATTTCTTCTGAAACTATTCCAAACAATAGAAAAAGAGGGACTCCCTAACTTATTTTATGAGGCCAGCATCATCCTCATACAAAAATCTGGCAGAGACCCAATAAAAAAAGAAAATTTCAAGCCAATAACCCTGATGAACATCAATGCGAAAATCCTCAATAAAATACTGGCAAACCGAATCCAGCAGCACATCAAAAAGCTTATTCACCACAGTCAAGTTGGCTTCCTCCCTGGGATGCAAGGCCAGTTCAACAAACGAAAATCAATAAACGTAATCCATCACATAAACAGAACCAATGACAAAAACCACATGAATAGCTCAATAGATGCAGAAAAGGCCTTTAATAAAATTCAACACCACTTCATGCTAAAAAAGGAAAACTCAAAAACCAAACTCAATAAACTATGTATTGATGGAATGTATCTCAAAATAAGAAGAGCTATTTATGACAAACCCACAGCCAATATCATACTGAATGGGTAAAAAAGCTGGAAGCATTCCCTTTGAAAACTGGCATAAGACAAGGATGCCCTCTCTCACCACTCCTATTCAACATAATATTGGAAGTTCTGGCCAGGGCAATCAGGTAAGAGAAAGAAATAAAGGATATTCAAATAGGGAGAGAGGAAGTCAAATTATCTCTGTTTGCAGATGACATGATTATATATTTAGAAAACTCCATTGTCTCAGCCCACAATCTCCTTAAGCTGATAAACAACTTCAGCAAAGTCTCAGGATACAAAATCAATGTGCAAAAATCACAAGCATTCCTATACATCAATAATAGACAAACAGAGAGCCAAATCATGAGTGAACTCCCATTCACAACTGCTACAAAGAGAATAAAATACCTAGGAATACAACTTACAAGGGATGTGAAGGACCTCTTTAAGGATAGTTACAAATCACTGCTCAAGGAAGTAAGACAGGGCAGAAACAAATGGAAAAACATTCCATGCTCATGGATAGGAAGAATCATATCATGAAAATGGCCATACTGCCCAAAGTAATTTATAGATTCAATGCTATCCCCATCAAGCTACCATTGACTTTCTTCATGGAATTAGAAAAAACCTATTTTAAATTTCATATGGAACCAAAAAAGATCCTGTATAGCCAAGACAATCCTAAGCAAAAGAACAAAGCTGGAGACATCATGCTACCTGACTTCAAACTACACTACAAGGCTGCAGTAACCAAAACAGCATGGTACTGGTACCAAAATAGATATATAGACCAATGGAACAGAACAGAGGCCTCAGAAATAATGCCACACATCTACAACCATCTGATCTTTGACAAACCTGACAAAAGCAATGGGGAAAGGATTCCCTGTTTAATAAATGATGGTGAGAAAACTGGCTAGCTATGTGCAGAAAGCTGAAACTAGACCCCTTCCTTACACCTTATACAAAAATTAACTCAAGATGGACTAAAGACTTAAACATAAGACCTAAAACCATAAAATCCCTAGAACAAAACATAGGCAATACCATTCAGGACATAAGCACAGCAAAGACTTCATGACTAAAACACCAAAAGCAATGGCAACAAAAGCCAAAATTGACAAATGGGATCTAATTAAACTAAAGAGCTTATGCACAGCAAAAGAAATTATCATCACAGTAGGAGAAATGTTTTGCAATATCCATCTGACAAAGGGCTAATATCCAGAATCTGCAAGGAACTTAAACAAATTTACAAGAAGAAAACAACTCCATCAAAAAGTGGGTGAAGGATATCAACAGACACTTCTCAAAAGAAGACATTTATGTGGCCAACAAACTTATGAAGAAAAGCTCATCATCACTGGTCATTAGAGAAATGCAAATCAAAACCACATTGAGATACCATCTCACACCAGTTAGAATGGTGATCATTAAAAAGTCAGGAAACAACAGATGCTGAAGAGGATGTGGAGAAATAGGAACACTTTTACACTGTTGGTGGGAGTGTAAATTAGTTCAACCATTGTGGAAGACAGTGTGGCGATTCCTCAAGGATCTAGAACTAGAAATACCATTTGACCCAGCAATTCCATTACTGGGTATATACCCAAAGGATTATAAATCATTCTACTATAAAGACACATGCACATGTATGTTTATTGCAGCACTATTCACAATGGCAAATACTTGGAACCAACCTAAATGCCCATCAATGATAGAGCAGATAAAAAAATGTAGCACATATACACCACGGAATACTATGCAGCCACAAAAAAGGATGAGTTCATGTCCTTTGCAGGGACATGGATGAAGCCAGAAACCATCATTCTCAGCAAGCTAACACAGGAACAGAAAACCAAACACCACATGCTCTCATTCACAAGTGGGAGTTGAACAAGGAAAACACATGGACACAGGGAGGGGAACATCACACACCAGGGCCTGTTGGGGGTAGGAGGCTAGGGGAAGGATAGCATTAGGAGAAATACCTAATGTAGATGGCGGGTTGATAGGTGCAGCAAACCACCATGGCATGTGTATACCTATGTAATAAACCTGCACATTCTGCACATGTATCCCAGAACTTAATTAAAAAACTCCACCTGACTAGAAAAAAAAGTCTGAAACATTTTACTTCATATTATACATACTTTTTTAAAATAAAAGGCAGAAACATTGAAGGAAACAAAACTTGACGTGAAAGAACCTTGTGCTGGAGTTCTAGAACGACCTTGAAAATCAGTTTTAAAAGGACTTGCTCTCACATAGTCTTTTTCATGGCTGCTTGAGTCATGCTGAAGAGATAGGCTTCATAGATTATATTTAAGAAGTTGTCGTCGTTCTGGAAAACAAATAGAAAGACCCAAGAGAATGCAACTTGGTTGGCAGACACAAAAGGCTTCCTCTGTCTTAGAGCTGAACCGGCATTTGGACACTGAGAGGCTCATCTCTCCCTGTCTGATCTAACAGCTGGTGGTTTTTAATTGCACGTGTGAATGTTATGTGGGGTTGAGGCAAGGCTGGACAGAGCTGCTGGTTTTCCACGGTCAGTATGCACAGTAGCAAGAGCTCATTACATACAGCACAGGTGGGCAGCCGAGCCACATGGCAGCATGGAGCAAGGTTTACTCAAGAACAGCCTGGGTCTGCTGCATGAAAAGACAAGGGACCTCAGCAGACAGAGGAGTTAGGAGGACATGATCCAAGTCAGTGGTCTCAAAGTTTGGTTAAGAGATTGCTGTGGTGTGTTTTTTTGTTTTGTTTTGTTTTTGAGACCGGGTCTCACTCCATCAACCAAGCTAAAGTGCAGTATCACCATCATAGCTCACTGCAGCCTCAACCTCCTGGAGTCCTCCCACCTCAGCCTCCCAAGTAGCTAGGGCTACAAGGTGTGTGCCATCATACCTGGCTTTTCTTTGCCAGTTTTTTGTTGAGGCAGGGTCTCAATATGTTGCTCAGGGTGGTCTCGAACTCCTGGCCTCCCCAGGTGTTGGGATTACAGGCATGAGCCACCGTGGTTTTTAAAGGCTCTCCACGTCACCTACAATGTGTTTACTTTGTTTTGGGCATTACTTAGGATTTTACTTCCAATATGCTTCATCAGTACTTCATCAAAGTCCATGTAAGTCTTTCCATAAGTTATGGAAAATTTCTGGCCTTGGCAAGTGGGCAGGAATAAGACTGGTAGTCTCTGGGCTCTTTTGCCTGGCCGAGAGTGGGAATCATGGTCTAATCAGTGGGTTTCTTCATTTTTTAATTCTAGAGGCTTCTCCTTCCCACTCAAATTCTTTGCAGCGTTAGTAATTCACCCACACTTCACATTCCCCCTTCATTCCCTCTTGGCACCCCACACAGAGTTAGCATTATTTTCATGCAATGAAGAGAGTGATGTTATCCCTTTTTTTCCTACAAAGTAGTCACAAAGTTCCTATGCATGAGGCTGCATCCTAACAAGAGGCAGAGACTAAAAACAGACCATTTTGAGTGACTGGGAAGATGAGGTCTAGTACACAGGAAGAAGTAAAATGCATTCCGACATGGAGCGAGGGGGAATGTAATTTCTAACCAGCCGTGTTCAGCAACTACTCTGGACTAACAGAGTCTCAAGACAATGTGATCTGAATGGAATGAGTCAGAAAAACATATGGATCTTTTAAATTCAAACTGAAGAAATTTGCTCAAAGTAAAGAAGTTCATAGACGTCCTTTCTAATTCCTCATGAGCTTACCAGGAATAGCTTTAAAAGGTGGCAAATATTTTTATCCTGACATTTATTTATTAATTAGTAAGGCTCAGTTATTTGCTGCTGACCTTCTTTATATCTGATCGTTACTACACTTCTGCTGTTTTCTAGCCTATTCCTTTCATTCTCTCTCAAACGGTTTCCTTCTTTGTAGTCTCACTATGTTGCTCAGGCTGATCTTGAGTTCCTGGCCTCAAGCAATGCTCCCGCCTTGGCTTCCCAAAGTGCTGGGAGTACAGGTGTGAGGAGCCACTTCGCCTGGCCAACATGTAGGCTTTTAAAAAATGTTTTACTAATAGAGACCAATGTCTTTTTGAGTAGGACAAGACAACCGCAGAAGGGCTAGCCTGCTCTCTAAAGGCCACCTGATGCTTAAGCAAAGTGCCGCAGAAATTTTCTTAATGACTATCTACCAAAAAGACACCTAAATACATTAACTGGGGTGTCTCAAGTCTGTCTGGCTACAAATATTCCACTTTTCAAGGCCTACCATTTATATTTTGGGTGTGCTTTGCTGGGGCACCTGTGCTGAATGTTCTCCTGAGGCTGGTCCCTGGTAACATTCATGTGGATAGCATGGCCCATGGGACAGCACATGGGAAGTGGCACTCAGGGGCCAGGCTAGGGGCCTGCACGGTAGCAGGAGCTCACATGCAGCACAGATGGGCAGCCGAGCCACATGGCAGCATGGAGCATCCCCGCTGTGTTATGAACGAGCTGCTTGTCTCACCAGTTGCTTAGCCTCACTTTCCTTTTCTGTAGAATGGGAAAAATAACAGGGTTGTTGTGTGAGGAGTGAATAAGTTAATATGTGTGTGGCACTTAAAACAGGGCCTGGCACCAGCTCTATGGGGTGTTAGCTGTTACTGTGCTCATTATTATTTCACAATTTCATAGACAAGTGAGACAAGCGGCTCACAAGGAGTCCTGTCGCTCCAACCCATCCTAATGAGCAGATTTCAAAATGACTTGTAAAACGCACCTGCAGCAGCCACGGCCATTACTTGCTTCCCTCCCTGTTTTCCACTCGCTCAGTGACCTGTTCCCCACTCGGCAGATGGCCCTTGCCCAGGACTGCTCCCACCTCTACTTCCCAATGGTGAGTTTTCTGTCCGGGCCCCCGGCAGCACCCAGGGTCCTCTCAGAGACTGCTTAACCACCAGTGTATGCTTCCTTCTCTTCTGACAGATGACAGCTTGGAGACCTTAGACAGTCCTTCAAATGACAAAATCCTTGAAGAGCTGAGACACCCAAAGCCACACTTGGTATTCTAAATAACACTGAGCTAAATGAGCACAGAGCCACTGGGGTCAGGATGAGTTGTTACACACACCTGTTATTCTCAGGGAAGCTAAGCAGGCCATGGCCAAGTCTTTATATCAAAGTCACAGCCAGGAAGCCAACAGGTGTGGTCAGGTGCAAAGGGAGACGACGTGCCCGCTTACCTGGATGAGGTACAGCAGTGCTTCCTGGAGCTGGAGCTTGGTGAGTGGGCTGCTGGTGATCAAGGAGGGCTCTGGGCTCTGCATGGGCAGGAGGAGGCTGGTGGCGGCAGCAGGCAGCTCCTGGCCTCCCACAGGCAAGAGGCCGCTCTCCCTTTCTTTTGGTGGGACGGAGGTGGATTGTGTGAACACCATGGGGGACATGAGCAGAGAAGGAGCTGCTGTAGCAGGGATGCGCTGAGGTGAGATGACCTGCTCACAGCAAATACACACAGGGTGGGGTCAGGAGCAGCTCATGGCATGACAGCTTGCAGCAGTGGATGCGGGTGATCTAAGCATTCCCTGTGCACAGCTTCCCTAGCTGAGAATAGTCTACGCGTAACTGATTCTTGTTCCACTCTCCGTGCACCTTCCTCTGGCATCACTGAGCAGCTCTGGTATGGTCTGCTGTGGTGACTGCTGTTCCCACTGCATATGAAGCTTGGCCTCTGAGTGACAGTTTATTTTTCAGGCTGACTGCCAGTATTGGCAATCTGCATTTAGGACTACTGACCTTTTCCTCGGACCTGTCATGACTCTGACTTAAAGGTCTCACAACCTATGTGAGCTGCAACCCTTACTTGATAGGGGCCTACCCATTTCCCCTCCTGACCCTGGAGCACAGAAGGTGCTATGACAGCAACTCCCTGCCCCTCCTGCAGCCTCACGCACTTCTCTTTGGGAGGGAGAGTGATGTGTGGCTCCACCCTTTCTGGGTCCTTCCCTGACAGGATCTGCCTGCCTGCAGAGCCCGCATCTTTAGCTTCTGCAGCTGATGTGCCGCCTGTTGCTCAGCCCTGCCATGGCCTTGTCTGTCTGGTGAGTCTAACTCCCTTGGCAAATAGACCTGAAACCAAGTTTTCTAACAGCCCTTTCAGTTATGCAAGTGACATTTTGATCCTTAGCTGACTGACTCCTACAGCTATCATTTGCTTCTAACTCAGGGAAAAAAAAGAATGTTATTTATCAGCCTCCTAACTCCCCAGAAGAGCTCCTGGGAGGGAGGCACAGAGGCCAGCAAGCTAGAAGTTGCTGTAATTCTATAATCACTCCCTTAGCATCTCTTTGAGCAGAAGTTGGCCTAGAGGAAGGCAGGCTGTTTCTTTTAACTTGTCCCTACGTGACATTTCGAGAAGCGGTGCTGAGCAGCGATGCTCCCCGGAGGAGGAGTCAAGCATTCTGTGCACAGCGTGGGCTGCTGAAATGCACGCCTCCCTCACTCGGCTCTTGATATTTGTGAGTACTGAAAAGTCAAAGGAGTTGTACATCAGAAATGTAAGTCAGACTATATTCATTCCCTGCTTCTAATTCTAAATCATCAAAGAGAAAAAAAGCAGACGTTTTTAAAAGAGGGACAATAACACTGAAATGAGGGGGAGCAGGAGTTATGAATATTGTTTCTATAGCAGCCAGTACTCAGGTTAGGGATGTTAATAAATAATAAAGGAGAACACTTTGACTCAGGGGCTCACAAAGACTTTTGGTACATGCCCAAGATCTTTCTTTTCAAAAAATGGAATGTTTTGTTTTGAGACAGGGTCTCACTCTATTGTCCAGGCTGGAGTACAGTGGTGTGAACACGGCTCAGTAAAGTCTCAACCTCCCGAGCTCAAGCGATCTTCCCCCTCCTGCCTCCCAAGTAGCTGGGACCATGGTGGCACGCCACCAAACCCGGCTAATTAAAAGCAAAAAAATTTTATAGAGACAAGGTCTCACTTTGTTGCCCAGGCTGATCTGAAGCTCCTGGGTTCAAGCGATCCTCCCATCTTAACCCCCCAAAGTGCTGGGATTACAGGCGTGAGCCACTGTGCCTGACCAAAAGTGATAGATTTTTGAAAAACTGTTATAAGTTACATAATAGACCGGGCACAGTGGCTCACAACTGTAATCCCAGCACTTTGGGAGGCCAAGGTGGATGGATCACCTGAGGTCAGGAGTTCGAGACCAGCCTGGCTAACATGGTGAAACCCCGTCTTTACTAAAAAAAAATACAAAAAATTAGCTGGATGTGGTGGCAGGTGCCTGTAATCCCTACTACTCGAAAGAGTGAGGCAGGAGAATCGCTTGAACCTGGGAGGCGGAGGTTGCAGTCAGCTGAGATCGCACCATTGCATTCCAGCCCGGGCAACAGGAGTGAAACCGTGTCTCAAAAACAAACAACAAAAAAAAAATGGTACATAACAAAACATGATGAAAGGCCAGCGATTATGTATGTGATACACAGGGAGAACCTTCCAATTTTTAAACCCAATGTACTTTCAATACATGTGTTCCAATCCAAAGGGAAAACAATTCAGTGTCAGATCTCCAGATGTTACCCACAGGCAGACGATCAAGCTTGTGGTTTCCTCACTGTCCCAAGTCAGTGATAGACATGGAGAAGCATCTTCCCTAAAGGACAGAATACTTCTAAAAATGGTCCTATTTTCCCTCTCTGGCAGTTTGTGTGGGGGGTAGAGGTGGGTGGCATGCATATCTCTCCTGATCTTCATTAGGCTACACTGATGATGCCGAGAAAGATAAAAATAGACTGCGCCTTTAAGGAGGAAATATGCTGCTTTCTGTTTATTTCAAGAACCTAGAGCATGGGCTGTGGGTAGAGGTAAGGAGTCTGTTTTCTTCATCATTTTGTACCCACATGTAGATAATGCCTGACATGTAGTAAGTGTTCAAAAATATTTACTAAATAAGTGAATAAGCAATAATTTACTGTAGGCTGAAACACCAGAGGAGGTCAGATGCTCAGTATTCTACACTGATTTCAAAGCAGACCATACTATGTTCCTACAGTCAAAGATGAGGCTTTTTTTCCATGTCTATGTTGGTCTTCAGACCTCCTAACATTATGACAATTTAACTCTACAAGTAAACGCTCTCAAAAAGGCAGGGGGAGGTTATCACATTGTTAGCCAAAGTGAAGATTCTCCTTTCAGGTAGAAAGTTCGGGCAATCAAGATGCACAGAGGTGGCTCCAAACAGAAAGTACGTGATACATGGTCCTTACAGCACAGAAGTGAACTCTAAATTTCACTGCACTACAGTAATACCTTTTCGTCTCTTTTTTTTTTTCTTAAGGGACAGGGTCTTAGTCTGTCACCCAGGCTGGGGTACAGTGGCACGATCATGGCTCACTGTAACCTCTGCCTCTTGAGCTCAAGGGATCCTCCCACCTCAGCCTCCCAAGTAGCTGAGGCTGTAAGTGTGAGACACCAAGCCTGGCTAACTTTGTTTTTTGTTTTTGTAGAGACAAAGTCTTTCTATGCTGCCAGGCTGTTTTATTTTGCCCCTGGTACATATTTACCTGAAAAAGAGGAGTCTGCTGTTCTGTGCTGGATGTCTTGCTGAGCCAGGATTCCAAGGGTTTTCCTGTTCTAGAGCTCTGAGTGAGCACAGGAAACCTAGCGGCCAAGGCTGGCCGGTTAGAGGCATGCAGCTGCTGCTCCTGCTGCACAATCTGAAGCTTCTTCAGCAACTCTTGAGGGGAGATCACTCCGGAACTGCCACTCTGATTACCAGAGAGGGGGAGTGTTTGTCTTGGGAGTGTGGACTGTTCTCTTCCATGAGCCTGATGTCCTACTGTCTGAGGTGGAAGGCAGCCATTGAAATAGGCCTGTGGTAGCTGAGCCAGACCCTTTCCTGGAGCCACAGGGGTGACAGAAGTGGGAGCTCTGCTGCGGTTCGGCGTGGCTGAGCTGGCAGGTGTTGGTGTACTAGGGTCACACTTGTTTCCAGCCCCCAGTGGGGTACTGTGAAGTTTCTCTAACAGGTTCTGAGTTCTGGAAGCATTTTGTATACCACAAGAAGTCCCAGTGTTGTGAGGAGACCCTGGCTGGACAGGTCCTCTAAAAACTTCTCCTGCAGAATGGGAACTGCCATTTTCACAGGGCCGGTTTTCAGGCAGCTCTGACAATGGGTGGAGGTCTGTGTTCCTGACCATGAGTTTCTGAATCGCCGGACAGAGCTGCTTCTCAACGGGGGGCGAGTGTCTTTTGGGTTCCTCGTAGGACAGGGAGCGAACAGCCCCCTGCCTAATTGGAAGCTTCTCTTGCGGCTGCTGTTGCTGCAGCTGGTGGTGGTAGTGGAGGGTCTGTGGAGGCTCTACAGTCTCCTGACATGCAGCTTTGTCCTGCTTCCCAAACAGAGCTGTCAAGGATAAGTGCTGGGGTTCAGGGTCTAAGGTCTGTAAAAAATAAAGATATCTGAGATGAGTCTGCAAACAATTTGGTTATTTGAGGGAGTGCTATGAAACCTAACTTACCTAACTGATGACTTACTCTATTTACAAAGGATCGATTAGAGGGAATGAAAATCATATAATCAACTTTAAAAATGAGACTCCTTTTTTAATGTCAAAATTTTTCATAGCCTGCTCCCCTTGCACCCCCAAGACAGTTGTTATATTTTAGTATCCGTTGACTGAAAAAACAGGTATAGGATCTTCGAGGGCCTGGGGTTTCACAGATTGGAAACCACCTTGGTAGGAAATTATATGCACTAAAAACATACACAATCTCTTCAATAGGAAGCCCATCTAAGCCTGCAGAGTAATATGAGAAGGAATATGAGAATTTCTGAATTTCTAGTAGCTTTTCACAGAATTATAGAAATCTAGGGCTGGAAAGAAACAGAAGACTTTTAATATAACTTGATCCTTTCAAATATATGACGGTAGGGTTTGAAGAGTCCTTGGATACATAAAATCTACCTTGGCCCAGACACTTACAAAGCTACTTCCTTCCTGCTCTCTACCTCTTTCTGTTGTTTTCTGCATAGTTGCACTAAGAAAACACAAGGCACAGTGGCTCATGCCTGTAATTCCTGCACTTTGGGAGGCCAAGGCGGGCAGACTGTTTGAGCTAAGGAGTTCAAGACCAGGCTGGGCAACATGGCAAAACCCCATCTCTACAAAAAATACAAAAATTGCCGACATAGCAGCACAAGCCTGTAGTCCCAGCTACTTGGAAGGCTGAGGTGGGAGGATCACTTGAGTCCAGGATGCAGAGGTTGCAGTGAGCCAAGACGGTGCCACTGCACTCCCGCCCGGCAACAGGAATAAAACCCTATCTCAAAAAGAAAACAAGAGCTTCATTTTAAAATTATTTTATATTCAGGTCGCTCTATTAAAATATAATAAAAACTTTCCATGGAAAACAAGCAATAAAAAGAAAGCTAAAAAATTAGAAAAGACTTACTTTCTTTAAAAATTCAATATAAGATTTTCATTACTAGTCTTTGTGTCTTTTGGCTCCATGTTCATTTTCAAAATCGATTTAAACTAATTCCTTTAAGAAAATCTTTCTAACTAGTCATAGCCATGACAAAATGATACAGTAATATTATATTTATAATCATTAATGGCACCTACAGATTGACAATTTTTGTCATGGCTATACTATTCTGAAATATGTATACATACACTAATACAAAAGCTGCTGTAATGTTTTTAATTTAGATTGCAAATACAGTAACAGGTCATCCTGCCTGAAGAGGAATTTTCTATCACTCCTCTGGACTCTGAGGTCTCTGCAGCAGCTACCCCAGTCTCTAGTGCGGGCATTGCATCTGGCACAGAGGAGGTGCTCAGACGTGTTAGACGTGTTAAACTCAGTTTTGTTGCCTTGGTTGTTGTTCTCTCAGGTGGCCTCGGGAAACCACCTGTCCCAGAAGAATACGGACCCAATGGGTAATGTTTCTGTGATCTCTGACAATGTTATTAGTTTTCTAGGGTGTTTTCTGATTTTTGTTTTTTGAGACAAGGTCTTGCTTTCTTGCCCAGGATGGGGTGCGGTGGTGCATCACAGCTCACTGCAGCCTCAAATTCCTGAGCTCAAGTGATCCTCCCGTCTCAGCCTCCAGAGTAGCTAGGACTATAGATACATGCCATCATGCCTGGCTAATTTTCTTGTAGAGATGGGATCTTACATGTTGCCCAGGCTGCTCTCAAACTTCTGGCCTCAAGTGATCCTCTTGCCTTGGCCTCCCAAAGTGCTGGGATTACAGGCTTGAGCACTGTGCTGGCTTGTTGTTTTTTAAAAAATACATTATCTCTTAAGGAGTTCAAGTTCACAAGAGATTAGCACAGAATGTGCTATATTACAAAAGTAAAAATTTTAACCCTCTTCTAGGAAGAGTAAATGATTAATAATGAAAAAAATCTATATTTTGAAATTTCTCTTTCCTGGGTTTACCTGAAAGCATTCTTCAGCAACACCAGGCCCTCCCCTGACTATATTCTGGGTCAAAGTTCTTTAAGAATTCTAGAGACACACTGAATATGACAAGCAGAGGACTCTGTACCTGGCTGGGCTGAGGTATATGCGGTAGCTGGTTTTCACTGGGTTTCACTGGAATTGGTTTGATGAGATTGGGGTTGTCATAGATGGCAGATGAACTGGTTATCTTTTTTGGCTCAGAACAGGTTTTACACTGAAATAGAAAAAAACAACAACCACCTCATTTTTGGCTTCAAAAAGCTTTAGTCTTTTAAAAAGACTACCTTTTTACTTCTTATCTAATTGGTAGATGCCTGTTTTGGATAGATTTTCATGCACAAAGGAAGATCCCTTAAATTTCTCTAACAGCTATGTTTGAGTATAAATCAAGTTCTAATTTAATTTTTTTAGTTGGACAATTCAGTGCTCTAAATATTACTACTAACACCAGCCGCAGGACGAAGGGGTTCTTAGACACCTGTTTAATTGAAAGGCTATATATATATCAATGCTTAATATATTGACTATACATTTAAATACATGCAGGCTAATGCTTTTCAATAATAAACAATTATAGAAACTCTTTCTTAAATAATATGACAATTTAAGCAGTTGACTTAAAATTGGAGAGTAGCTGAGTACATTCATCAAAGTAACTCAACCTTTTATGGTCTATAGAAATGAAAAAGCTGATGCAAATCACTGATTTAAAAATTACTAACATCATCTTTATTTAATAAATGTCTTCTTGCATAAACAGAATAATTCAAATCTGAGTGTTCTGAGCCACTTACTACAAATTAGAATTTTGCAGAGAAAGAGAAAAGCGACAAATCTCATCATTTCAAACACTGACTCATTATCATACATTAACCAACGATGCAATTGCTAACACAGTCAGATTCATAACAAAAGAGCACAGCAATGATATTGGTGTCTAGTTTGCCAAAACACTAAATAAAACAATGTAAAATGCTGCCTTTTGTACAATGGGACTCTCTGAAGCATCATTAGTTTCCACTGTACACTTAAGGCCTCAGGCCCCAAAACATTCCACACTGTACCTGACGTGAAATGAAATGTAAACACAATCTTGTCCCTTGGGAACCCAACATTCCCAATGTGCTTTACAGTTATCAGGGTGTATTTTCTAATGCAGCGATCTAGGGGTGTGGCATCTATGACCACTGTGTGCACTGTATGTAAGGTTAACCATACAAAAGATTAAATCTTTTCTTCCAGGCATTCTATCAATAATTCGTATATTTGGCACAAGTACTATGTGGGATGTGCAATCACTTTATAAGTCACAAAGTGGTATCTCCAATTCTTCTTAGGTGAATGATGGAATGGCTACATGAACCAATTGGCCTGGCTTTCCCAAGACATGGATAACCAAGACAAGATAAGCATACAGGCTAAGGTATAATCCCTTACACAATTGTCTATTTCTATGTTCAGAAACACTGAATTTCTGGCAAAGAAAAGCAGATTTTTCCCAGCTTCCCTATGCCCATTTTCTTATGGGCTAAGAGGCAGCTTTGTCTCTTGATATGCATAACCCTAATAGCTTTTCATAGTCAAAATGTATCTCCAGAAGCTGTTTTCTGTGTCACTATGACTGTCTACCTACAAAGCCTTGCTTTTATGTAACAATTGCTCCCTCTTATCAGAGTGCTCAGAATTAATCATCCACCTCAGTGCTTTGTAGCTCATTTTCCAGTTGTTTAATTTTCTGTGCTTTCCCGACCCAAATACTTTTAAAACCCTGGGGGAAAAAACAGTTTTTGAAAAAGTATGTAATGGATTCTTCACAGAGAACCTGAGGCATTTCTTTAAAATCTCAAAAACTTCCTCTGTTGGATGCTGAGGCTAAAATACAATAAAACCTCAAAAAGTATGTCATATAATCCAATTTTAATCACACACAAACACATACATACATGAACATATGTATTTATATCAAGAGAGATGTCTGAAACAAAATACAGTAAAAGTATAAAAAGTTTCTATCTTTAGGTTATAGAATTATTGATTTTATTTTTTATATTCTTTTGAATTTTATCATTTAACAAAAAAAAATTTCTATAATTTCATAAATAACTCATAGCTATACCCAGAAAAGAGCCACTAATTCTTGTCTTAAGCCACAAAACACAAATAGTCCACTTCTGAATACTCCAAGCCTAACTATGCAGCCTGTAAAACATTTCTGGTCCCGACTCTTGCTCTTACTGAAATTTGGTTATTTTATTGTTCACTTGCATCTCAACTAGAATTGAATAGGGAGGAGATAAAAAGAGATGAAACACCAATTAACATCTTTGCTACTTTACAGCAGATTCACAGGAAGTTACTTCTCAAAAGAGAATGCATGAAATTTTGGCCAAAATAAGGTTTTCAAATTATGTTATCAACTTCCTGTAAACTAGATAGACTTCACTTTACCAATATCATATATACCGGTAACTCAACATTTGTCCTACTTTTACTTCTTTGGATATTTGCAAATTTAAGAATTCTAGAAAGCCTTAGACATAAGCCCTGAAACTGTAAACCTACTGGAAGAAAACATAGGAGAAAAGCTCTCTGATAATGGTCTGGGCAATGATTTTTTTTTGTTATGTGACCCTAAAGACAGGCAACAAAAGCAAAATAGACAACCGAGATCACATCAACCAAAAGGCTGTTCCACAGCAAAGGAAACCACAGCGTGAAGAGGTGACCTATGGAATGGAGGAAAATACCTGCACACCTTACATATGATAAGAAGTTAATGTCCAAAATATATAAAGAACTCAAACAGTAAGAAAACAAATGTTCCAATCAAAAAACAGACAAAGGGCCTGAATTGATATTTTTCAAAAGAAGACATACACATGGCCAACAGGTATATAAAAAATGCTGGACATCACTAATCATCAGGGAAATGCAAATTAAAACCACAGTGAGATATCACCTCAAACCTGGTAGAATGTCTACCATAAAAAAGGCAAAACATAAGTGTCGGCAAGGATGTAAAGAAAAGGGAATCCTTGTATACTGTTGGTGGGAATATTAATCAGTACAGCTATTATGGAAAACAGTATGTTGGCTCCTCAAAAAATTAGAAATAGAACTACCATGTGATTGAAGAATCCCATTTCTGGGTACATATCCAAGGAAAATGAAATCGGTATGTTGAAGAGATAGCTGCATTCCTGTGTTCATTGCAACATTACAAGAGCCAAGATATGGAATAAACCTAAGTGTCCATCAATGAATGAATGGATAAAGAAAACGTGGTGCATATACACAATGGAGTACTATTCAGCCTTAAAAAAGAATGAAATTTTGTCATTTGCAACAACATGAATGAACCTGGAGGACATTATATTAAGTGAAATAAGCCAGGCACGGAAAGGCAAATACTGCATGATTTCACTCATACATAAAATCCAGAGAAGTTGAATCCTTCGAGGCCGAGTATACCGGTAGTTGCCAGAGCCTGGGGGTAGGAGAATTATGGTCAAAGGATACAAAATTTCAGTTAGACAGGAGGAATAACTTCAGGAGATTTATTGTGTATCATGACCACTGTAATTAATAACGATATATATTGTATACTGAAAGTTGCTAAAGAGTAGATTTTAACTGTTTTGCCACACAAAAATGATAAATATGGGAGGTAACGCATATGTTAACTAGTTTGATTTAGGTACCCTATAATGTACATGTATATCAACACATCATGTTGTATACTATAAATATATTCAATATTAATTTTTCTTTAAAAAAAACTGCAAAAAAATAGGTCTAGCATTGAAACTCATATCAGAAGTCTTTTAGTTTAATACTTATCCAACACAAGCCAAACTGTTTTATCACATCACCAATATGTAACCGTTCAATCTCTTCTTGAACACTTTCAGCAATGGAGACTCGCCTCCCAAAAAGCTCTCAGAAGAAAACTTCTGTTTTCTTTCTCTCTCATCACCTTTCCATTTCAACCCCCTTCATCTACTCAGAACCACCCTACTCAGGATCTCCACTTTTTCTGAAATGTGTGTGTAAGTGCAGACAGCACGAATGTAAGAAAGCGATGCAATGCTCCTTCCAAACATAAGGCTCTGGAAGCTAGCAGGGAGCACGCACACCTCCTTAGGCAGGTCAGAAATAAGGTGATGGAAAAAGAACATTTGAAGCAGGCCCTGAAAGATTGATCATATTTTGATGGGTGAAGAAGAGGAGAAAACAGTATGAGAAAAGGCACTCTCAGGAAGCAAAATTGGTACTCTGTTTGGCAGGAATTTCAAACATTTGTAGAGGGTAGTAGGGCTAGAAGAATAATCTGAGGCCATCTTAGGGAAAGCTTGAAGACTCCAAGGGTTCCTGTACTGGGCAATGACAAACCAAGAAAAATGTCAACTAGGAAAGTAGCTTGATCATGCAGGTGTCCTGGAACACTGTATCACATCATCTGGCTGTTAAGGGAAGAAGAAATAATTTCTTCTATTATTTATTTCACAGTTGGAGCAATTGACATTACACATATAACAGCATATACTTGATTTTTAAATATATTGAAAAACACAGTCTATACACAAATTAAGTATCTGTATTTCATGTCAACATTATAACAAATCTGTGAGGGCATAAAGATGAACAGAACATTGTTTTAACTTCAACGTTTACAGTGTTTACAGTGTACTGAGATAAGTTGACTTAATGTAATAAATGAGGAAGAACAAAATAAGTTTTAAACAGTAATAGACTGAGTTCACTGGGAAGAATAATTAATTTGACTGAAGGCATCTGGGAAAACTCCACATAAAAAGTATCATTTTTACTGAGCATTAAAGGATACGTAAATTCTGAAGGGTAAATAAAATAAGGGGGAAAATATTCCAAGATATAGGTATAATATAAAGTGATGGCCTAAATTAAATCTCCAGAACCATATATGAGTGTTTCTGAGAGACAGAGAGTATGTATGTGTTGTTCTTTTACGTGATGGTCACTCAGGTGAGGCCACAGAGGAGACACAGGAGAGTCTCAGGAAAACAAAGTTTATTATATTCACAGGTCCTGAAGACAAGAGGCACACCCAGGGCCACATGTGGAAGCCTCAGGGCTCAGCAGCAAGGGGAAGGCATAGACTAGAGCCTTTACTGGATTTCCTCAAAAAAGGCAAGGCAGGGCATGGTAAACAGGTTAAGATTATCCAGTTTGAATAACTCCAGCAGGCTCTAAACTGTATGAGTGGTTCCTAGTTGCTGGGTACCTGGCCCTGGGATGATTAAGGCAGAGAAATATTGTACAGGCCAGACAGCGGAGATATGTATGGCTCAGGATTGGTTAGTGTGCCTATTAAAGACGTGTCCCTGGCCAAGCCCTTTGCTAGCTCTGAAAACTGTCTGGTCCTAGGAGGGGCAGTCTCTCCAGCCAGAAAGGTTTTTAAGATGTCAAAACATTGTAACATATAGAAGATAAAAAACACAAACAACACAAAGTATGTGTGTGTTGAGAGAAGGGAGGGAAAGAAAATAATTTTGTTAAATATTTGTACTTATTATTTATTTACCATTGTTATGCTGTCTTCACAGAACATTAAGTTCCCAGAGGGCAGAAATGTTACCTTTTAAAGATTAATCTTCAGTGTGCATAATGTAGTATAATTAATAAATTAAATAATTATTCAACTAGTTGCCAAGTCATCATAATACATTTTAATGACTTTTGAAGAATTAAAAAAAACCCACAAAACGAACATAGAAATAGCTGTTACTGTCTGAAGCTGAGATTAAGGCATCTCTGTTCAGGCCACACACTAGGAGGATAATTAAACTGTGGCTCATTCACATTAATATTCCGTCCTTCATTCAGCAGCCATTATTTAGCACTCATCATGTGCTAAGTACTTTGAAGACAACAAGGGATATAAAGGTGAATAAAGGATGTTCTTTTTACTCAAAAAGCTCATAATCAAGGCGAAGGCATGTTGAAGAAACTTGTCCAACTGCCCATATGTGCCATTTCATTCAGGGTTTTTCTGATTTCTTCCTCTTGGCATCATTTAATTTGTTTTTCTACCAGTTCTCCCCTCACTCCCCACCCACTTTCACTTTCTCTAAACTAACAAGTTAGAGCTCAAGGCTTAATGAGATTCAGGATCAACTCTTTGGGCAAGAATATTTCAAGATGGTGCTGTCCATTCGACATCTTATCATCACATTGGGAAGCCAGAATGTCTGGTTATTTAACTTTTAATGATAATCACTGGGGTTCAGGTGGAGGCAACCTGAACCTTCCACTGTCAAGTTTCTATCAACCTTTCCCATAACATTAATGTTACTGATGATCACTGCCTGAGTCAATTATTTTAAGCAGAGTGTCTTTAAGTTCTATTATTCCCTCCATATGTACTAGCTGGAGTTCTTTGGTAGAGAAGAGCTCTCCCTCATTGACCACAGCTGTTTGATTACTCTGAGATCCAGTCCCTTTAGGACAGGCAGGATAAAAGCTTAATTCATTCCCATTATAGTAATTACCAATTTTCAGAGGAAGGAGTTGGTGCCTTAGCACCTTCAAAGGATAACTAATAATTATTTTGTTTTGTTTTGTATATTTGGTTTGCCTGCTCTCTTTCTCATTACCATGAACTCGTAAATTTTTATACATTCAGTGTGTTTTAATCCATTGTAGTCATTCCTGTTGATGTTAGAATATGATGATCTGGTCAGTATCCTTGAAGCTGATCACTGTGCCCTTTCACATGACCCTGCTGGTTTTACTATTCCAGACCTGGAATCAGAAATTTCTTTAAAGAGTCCTGATACCTTTTAGAAAGAAGTATTATTTAGAAATAACAATCTGGGCGATATAGATGCTTATTGCTACTGAGTTAGTCACTTTTATGTCTATGTCCTTTCAGGGCAAGAGTTAGAAACTCTATTTTTTGTTTCTATACCTATGAAACAAAACATGATCTAATTCTGATATTTCTACTTAATCTTATACAGTTTTAACTTATTGGATTTGATTTTTTTCCCGTTACACTAAGGTTTTGGTTCCAACTATGTTTATATAATTTCTTATTTATTATATCCACAACAGTAGAAAAATTAAAATGCCAACATTACTACAAACAATAAAACCAACGAATTAAGTTTATAATTTCTTGCTGTTCTTTTTATCCTTAAAATATAACCCACTAAGAGTGTTCAGTTCAAGCACCAGGTTTTGAAGTCACTCTAATTTTTTACTAACTAATTATGTCATAATATAATATTCAATTACATACATTTATTTCAGCTAGTTTTCAAATTCTATAATTTAAAAAAAAATTATTTTTGCCCATTTTTCTAGTGTCAATTTTGTACTTCTCAATTTTTAGGAGCTCTTCATAAAATAACTTCCTGTTATTCTGGTATAAACATTTTTTGGGCAGTTGTTTTTGTATTTTTCTATTTGCTTACATTATATTTAAGCCTTATAAAACATTTTTATTTTTATGTAGTTTAATGAATTGCTTTTGGGTTTTAAGGCATAACTGAAAGATTTCTCTTTTCCTAGATTATAAAGAAATCCATACAAATTTTCTTCTGGTACCTGAATCATTATATTTTTACATTTAAATTTCTAATACATTTGGAATTTATCCTGGCGTATGGCATGAGGTACAGACTCAATTTTGTATTTTTCCAAATGGCTACCATTTGCCCCAATACCATTTGTTTAAGAATTCACTCAAGTAGCTGACTTGAGATCATCATCTTTATCATATCCTAGATTTCCTACACAATTGGATTTAATCCTAGATTTAGAATCTTAAATCTGTCCCATTGGTCTATTGGGCTGTTAGGTATCAATACCAACGACATGATACTGTGTGAAATGTTTAAGCTTCAGTGTTTTAAAATCAGGGAGAGCTTGCTCCATCACCCTCTCATCTCCCCCACCTCCAGCTCCTGCTAATATCACTTTTCTTTGCCGGGATTTTCCCAGCTATTCTTTCTGGCATATTTCTTCTCATGATCCTTACAGTCAACTTGTCTGGATTAGAGAGTAAGGGAGAAGTGGGAAGCGGAGGGGGAGGGGAAAATAATAGTGGTATTTATTTAGTGATCACCTTAAATGTACAGATTTAAGGAGAATTAAGAGCTTTATGTTCAATCTTTTTATCCAACAACAGGGCACATATTTCCGTTTGTTCAAATCTTTTTTCATGCCTTTCAGGAGTTTTTAAACATTTTCTTTATATAGGTTTTACCCATTTCTTGTGAATTTTATTGCAAAGAATTTTATATTCATTTGTTGCTACTGTAAATTGGGGTCTTACAGTAAGTCTTCTATTTGTATATATGAAGGCTATTGATTTCTCAGGCTATTTTTTAATCCACTTAAAGGCAAACCATTTTCTTTAGCTTACTAAAAGCAAATAAAGATTTTTTATTTGTAATATAATTTTGTTTGGTGGAAGGCACAGGACCCACAGCACCTACTCTTTCTAAACAAGAATATTCCCACTGCGGAACTGAAGGGTGTATGCAGCACAAGGAAGGGCAAATACTCACCTTTGTGTATTCATCTTTGGCCTTGATGAGCATTCGTAAAATATCTACTTCTTTGCCCTCTCCTGAATTGAGGATCATTGGGGAGATTCCCGCTCCAGTTCCCTGATGGGCTTTCAACTGTTCATACTGAGTTAGGCTAGAAAAACGGGGGAACATCCACACAAGAAAAACCAATTCAATACAAACAGTGTTTAAAACCACCCCAGTTCTCACCTAGTCGTCTTCATCCTGTTATAACCATATTAGAAATAAGGCTGCTTAGGAATTTAAAGGAGAAAAATGAGAGTTGAGGTCCTGAATTCACTGACTACGTAGGTGAATCTAGGGTAGGAGTCAGCAAACCTGCAAGGCAATTCCAGCCCACCACCTGTTTTTGTAAAGAAGGTCACAAACACAGCCGTGCTCAACACAGCCATGCTCATCTGTTTACGTATTGTTTATGGCTGCTTTCGCATTACAAAGGCGGAATTCTATAGTTGGAACAGAAATCCTATGGACTGCAAAGTCTAAAATACTCACTCTCTGATCCCTTTCAGAAAAGTCTGCCAACTCCTCACATAGTACATTCAGAAGGACGCTCTCATTAGCTGCTAAGGAAACCCAATTTAAAGTTCTGAAATAATGAGGAAAGTACCCCCCACTTTACATACAGCCTTGAAGTCAAAGCAAGGTTGATTCTAGCAACTCAAATCCTGTAGTTCTCTGGCAGTTTCAAAACATGGTAAAGATTCCATTCTAACCCTGAGAAGAGGGGCCATTTAAAAAAGCACTTAGAACAATGAGTTCTTCTGTTGCCTGAAAAACAATACAGAAGAGACCAGATTGCTCCCATCACCTAGCAAAATACACGTTCCCCTTATGTGCTGTGACTTTCAGCTAACATTCTTATTATTGCCATGAAGTTTATGGTAAAAAAGATCTGAGCTTACTGAGAGACTTAATTCTTACTGGGGAGGGGGTCTGAATTCACGCAAATCAGCTGCTTACTGCTAGTAAATAATCGATTTCTTGCCCGAGCTGTTGGGTAATTACTGCAGAACGCTGACAACTTTAACATGGCCTCTTGGCTGAGCTACAGGGTATTTTTTAATCTATATGAAATCTTACTATTATTATCTGCTGCACAAGTTACAGTAACATGACTGTTCTAGGAACTAGCTGTTACAGTGGTAAACAGTTTGAATACACTTAATCACCATCTGCACCTTGAGCTACTTAACTAAAATTAGCTATCTCTAGATAGACTTTCAGGAATCTATCTTATTTCTTAAAAGGTGCTCCCTGTTTTTCCTTTCCATGAGGTCACTTTCTAGTCATTTCCTTGCTCCAGGATTTAAAAGTGGGGATTGATTCTTTTGCAGACAGAGCTGCAGTGTCAGACCCATGTGGTAGCAGCCATCCTATGTGCTTGGCTGTGTCCAGTCCCAGGCTGTGACACAGCACGTGCAAGAAACTCATCTCACTCTGAGGCTCTTACCCATCCCCATTGATGGCAGGGAAATAACTGCCTCACCATGAGCAGGCCCTCGGCTCAAGAATTGATCAGTCAACCAATTGCAGAGCAGAGAGCAAGCCCTCCCCTTTCAATGCAATCAGGGAAGCCAAGAGTGGGAAAGACAGACAGCAATTTTAAAGTTTCCCAAAATGCAGAATGGGACAAATCACAAGGTACCATGAGATTAAAAGAAAGAGATTAGGCTGGGCGTGGTGGTTCACACCTGTAATCCCAGTACTTTGGGAGGCCGAGGTAGGTGGATTACAAGGTCAGGAGTTGGAGACCAGCCTGGCCAACATGGTGAAACCCCCTCTCTACTAAAAATACAAAAAATTAGCCAGGCACGGTGGTGCACACCTGTAATCCCAGCTACTCAGGAGGCTGAGGCAGGAGAATCGCTTGAACCCAGGAGGCAGAGATTGCAGTGAGCAAAGGTTGTGCCATTGCACTTCAGCCTGGGTGACAAAGCAAGATTCCGTTTCAAGAAAAAAAAAAGAAAGATACTAGTAACAAGGAAGAGAGAGATGGTTGACTGATCACTAAACTAATAGTAACTCAGCAATTTCTAAGAAGTTTGAAAATAAAGACTATCCTAAGTACTCAGTGTCTGAGACATGGGAGGAAATTCTGAGCTCCCACAAACATGTATAACAGTTAAAGGAAGGCATTTGGGGGAGGAAGGAAATGAAAGATTTTACAGAATCCTGAGCAGGCTTTTAGGATGGCTCTGAATGTTCTTTTTACTGACAGGCATGTTGATAACTTTTCAAAGCAAAGAATTGCTAATTTATAAATGAAAATATTAAAGAAAACTGCCATCTGGAACAATTCATATATATTTCACAGAGACAGGAAAATATGAGTCATTCCAGATGATAAATATTACCTAGTAAAAATGTGGCAAGTTGTTTCTTATGTCTATTTCTCATTTATTAATTAATACTAAATGTTTGCCTAACCACTGTGAAAATAATTGCTGTGGAGATATATTCTGTTAAGATTATAGTATAGTTACATACATACTTTTGTAGAAATACAAATGAAAGCACCAGGTCCTGAAAAATATTTAGCCTTTTAGCACTTACTTTTTCATAAGCTCTGCAATTCTTTGGCATTCTTCCTTATCATAAAACCAAATTCCATAGATGGACACTGCAAAAAACACATCAAACAAATTATGAGCATATTCAAAACTACAAAATAGAAAAAAATTTCCTTTTCCGTCTTAAATACATGATAATCTATGTATTGAATTGATTTATTCAATAATTATTGAATAAATAAAATCAATCATTGGGGTTAAAGCTCAAAAATACAGCACTGAGCCAGGCGCACAGTGGCTCATATTTGTAATCCCAGTACTTTGGGATCACCTAAGTCAGGAATTCAAGACCAGCCTGGCCATCATGGTGAAACCCGTCTCCACTGAAAATACAAAAAAGAATTAGCCAGGCGTGATGGTGGGTGCCCATCTACACCAGGATCCCAGCTACTCAGGATGCAGCTACTGGTAATCCCAGCCACTCAGGATGCAGAAGCAGGAGAATCACTTGAACCTGGGAGGTGGAGATTGCAGTGAGCGAAGATCGTGCCATTGCACTCCAGCCTGGGCGAAAAGAGCAAAACTCTGTCTCAAAAACAAAACAAAACAAAACAAAAAAGCAGCATCAAAATATAAGTCCACAGAGAAATCTGTGGTGGTTTTCTGCAAAGACACACACCCACACATAGATACACATATTGAATAAACTGTGTTCTCCTTAAAAATATAGCACCTGAACACATTAGGCATTTGGTAAAATCTTCCTAAACAAATGACTACAGAACTGAAAATGAAATCAGAATTTCTAAACTTCCTGGCTTCAAGATATCATTGTTTCTGCACTCCATTTGCACATTTCATAAAAACATTTCATCTTTATTTTTAAATATTCAGAAGCCTGATACTCAAATTATGCCTAGAAGCCTCCCTCCCCTTCTCCTTCTCTCAGGAACATGTTAACTGAAAAACTGGCTTTTGTAAGCTGTAAGTTAGGGATAGGCCACGGGAAAAAATAAAATGTAATAAACCTCTGGCTTCAAAATGTCTGTACAGAAAATTTAAAACTGCTCAAAGATTAGATATGACTATGATTTCATCATTTAGTAATGAAAGAAACTGACATAATATAGCTGCTATTGATTCATTTAATAATGTTCAAATAAGTTGTATATTTTATATGTGCCTATCTATATCATTTTTATAGCAAAGGCTGAAACAGCTCCAAAAGACATTTATAAATATCTAGTTGAGGATCTGATGGCATTAATCATGTAAGTAATGCATTAACTACACACACATTTAAAAAATCTTCACTGAAAATAGCAACAATATTATGATGGGGCAATGAAAACTGACAAAACATGTTTTTAAAAGAGAAAAAAACTTTAAATTCAAACTTTCCAAACATGTAATTATATCAATAGTCTTTTGCTGTTAAAACAGCTGTGATAAGGCTGGGCGTGGTGGCTCACACCTGTAATCCCAGCACTTTGGGAGGCCAAGGTGGGCAAATCACGAGGTTAAGAGGTCGAGACCATCCTGGCCAACATGGTGAAACCCGTCTCTACTAAAAATACAAAAATTAGCTGGGCGTGGTGGTACATGCCTGTAATCCCAGCTACTCAGGAGGCTGAGGCAGGTGAATAGCTTGAACCCAGGAAGCGGAGGTTGAAGTGAGCCGAGATCGTGTCACTGCACTCCAGCCTGGTGACAGGGAAAGACTCCGTCTCAAAAAACAAAAACAAACAAACAAACAAAACCCAGCTGTGATAGTCTAACTACATCTTTTTTTCCCCTCTTACCTGACCAGTATCTTGGCATGGAATTTCTGCTTCTTGTCAGTAATAGTTCAGATATCAAAAGGTACAAGAAATGTCTTTATACGTGCTATTTTCAGCAGATATCTTAGAGGAACTTATGAATCTGAATTACTAACTTGGCAAAAGGTGGCAATAGGGCTTTAAACTTTGTTTTGCAATTATCAGTGTACCAGAAATCTTTTATCTTACCTACCTGCATGTGAAGGGTGGGCAAGGGGGAGGGGAAGTGAGGGAAAAAAAATTCCAGCTTTTTCTTGAACAGGACCATTTTACCTCTTAGCTGGAAATATATACATATTTTCCTCCTTGGTATACGGACTTTTTTTTTTTTTTTAAAGAACATCTGAGTTCTGAAGTCCATGTGCTATGAGAGCTTTTACATCAAAACAAAATTCTTTCATCTTCAGATTACTAAATGTGTATCTTGAAACTTCATATTCAAGGTTGCTTCCAGTCCATCAACAATAATTCCCTACCTCGATTCCCTACACAGATTCCAACACTAACCTGCCTACCCTGACTTTCTTGAAGTCAAAGCAGATTGGATCACTGACATTCAACCACTAATAAATCTGAATATGTTTGTGTGTCTTGGTGACTTCAACCTTAGTTACAAAACTAGGAGCCTGGTCTATTGTTTTAGTTACAGTGTAAGTTTTCTTTCCTTGAAGACTGGCTTTTCCAAAACTATCAGAGGAGAAAGGTGGCAGTAAGAGAGAAAAACAGGGCATAACTCAGAAACCCAAGGCGCAATGGCAGAGGAAAAACCGGCCATTGGTATCTCATAAGTAGGCTCTATTAATAGAAATATTATGGGTGTCTTTTGTTTGATGTTATACATTTGTGGCATCTGACATAAGGAATTAGGTTTTCATAGGGTGGGATGCCAAGGAAACTGTTGATACAAATAGAAGAGCAGTTTGACACTGTCACTACTAGGAGATAACTGAAATGCAGATTTAGGGAGGGAAAATGGTATGGAACATCTCTCAAATGTCAAAGCAAAATGAAGGAATGATTGGGTTAGCAGTAATTATTTAAGACATTGTGAAGACTTCTTTAGGTCCCAACCATTTATCTCTAAAGCAGCATGGCTTTAAAAATTAAAATGGGATCACTTTGAGATAACTCTTTTGATCCCAGTTTAGTCTGGATAGAAAATTTAAATAGCCAAGAGGGAGAAGAAAACATGAACCAAGAGTTCTGGTTACTCAAAAGTGGCACCAAGATAAAATGTAGAACTGGGCCTAACTCTCTTCTCCCTAAAATAGTTTTGAAACTTGAGCTGCATTCCCCTGGGAAAGAGGCTGTGAATTCCATTAAAGTACACATTCCAACTGAAGTTTCCTGCCTCCTAGCTCTAAGGTCTACCAACCCCTGGGCAAACCTATCACTCTTTCACACAAGAGGGTCAATCAAAGCAGTCTGTGGAGATATATAAAAACCAGAGATCATCATGCCTTAGGGAGGTGATGAGCTGACAGGCTGACAGAAACCATGAAGTTCACATTTCAATCCAAGTTTTCCCGTAAAGCCACTGGGTGAGAGGCCCACCCGTACATAGGCAGAGAGCAGAGCAGGGAAGACAGAAAATATAAGGTTGAAAAGAATCAGGCAAGAAGGTGTTTTTTTGTGTGTTTTGTTTTGTTTTTTAGAATTCTAAAACTTAAAGTAATTACTATAACCTAAACTTGCAGCGATGTGATATGGCCATGTAAACTTCTGTGGCACTGAAATGTTACTGCGGGAATGGTTTCTGGTTTTTAAAAAATTACAAGAGCTCATGAGCCGGATAATTATTTAGTTTTAAAAATCAACCAATATACATCTGGAAATTCACAATGCTTCGAGCATTTGTTCAGCCTAGTACTCCAGCATACCAGCCGCTTCCCAGCTACCTGTCTGCTGATACAGAGGTCAAATTTAAGGGTACTTTGGTGCATGAAGCTCAACTCAACTGTTTCTACATCTCTCCTGGAGGTAAGAAACCCTAAAGCAAAATAGAAAGTAGGAAGAACATGTTGGAATTTACTCTAAATATTCTAATGCTACCTAGAATGTTACTTCTTCACTGTAAGAACTCATCTCTCCACATTTAATCAGGATTTACCATACACTGTTATGAAATTTTGCCTGTAACTGCACTATCCTGGTTTATGCCATTCTTTGGAAATTCTCAATTGAAAAAAAGTGATGTTTGAGGCAAGAGGCAATGCCATACAGCCCAATCTTCTACTCTCCTTTTAATTCTGTCAGAAAGATCAAGGAGATCAAAATTTCCATATTAGACTTTATGTCTGGATTTTGTAGGTCCACAAAGACAAGGCAGACAGCAAGCTGATTATATTCAATAGTGATATTTTCTTTTTTTAATTTCTTCAACGGAAAAATCAAAAGCTGGTCAAATTTTAAGTGGCTAGTTAAGGGGCCATTAAAGGTAGTATCAGTGTCACTCACATGCACATTTTCATTTGTAACCCTTTGATTCTTATTAGCATGGTGCATTAGTTCATTTTGCATGTTCTCTGGGGATTTGCCTCATCTTGTTTATGTTCCTAATAAATATTTCTATTCAACCTGTTCTTTTAAGATATTTATAATTTGTTTTACATTTTAACCAAAATACCATACAACTCCAAATCATGAATGGTAGCTTGTAATCGTCTAATTAGGACTTGTATAATGTTTGTGCAAATTTTTAAAAGAATATATATATCCATTCAATTAGGAAGTGGATGATAAACACTAATTACATGGGTAAAATTTAAATAGGCAGGACATCTGATTTGGTAATGCTCTTTCTAACGTAATTTCACTAATTCTTCTAAAACGGGTAGGGAAATATGTTTTTCTTAGTATTCAGCAAGGAAAGCATTTAAGTTGCCTCTTTTTACCTGGAAAGCCATGGAAATATGGTAGTGTTAAATCACACAAACCTCTTCTGGGCATCTAAGGATAAACCAAAAATTTAAAAATTCCTTCAAACTCCACTCCTTTCATGAAGTCTTTCTCAAATGAGTAGAATAACATTTTCAATGTAAGGACGGAGAACATCTAATCATGTATTTGTGTAAACACTTGTTTTCAGGGCTTCATTCAAATATAATATTTCTTGATTTACTGTACAATTTATCCATATCAAGCTTTAATAAATGTGACCATATTGATGATGACTAGTTGCTAGCATATGCTACTACACATGCACACACAGCTACTATGCTTTTGAAAGATCCCAGGATATTTTAAAAATCAGAAAAACAGAACCATGACATTTTAGAGCCAGAAGTCAAGTAAGAGGCATGCAGTTCAATAAACTATTTCACTAATGGGGAATCTGTGATCTAACAAGACTAAAAAAGTCAGCCAAAGTCATTTTTCTTGGTTTAATCTGTTTCCCCTAAAATATGCCCTTCCCCCAGCCTTTCAAATGAAATAGATGAAGCATTCAAATTTGTTTTTACATATTTGATTGAGTTCTAGGCTTGGTTATAAAAGACTCGAATGACTCTTTTTAAACCAAAGTCCATGTGGACCCTCAAAAGGAAAAAAAGAAGGATGGAATGAAAGGAGGGGGAAAATCAGTGAGGAAGGGAGGGAGGAAGAGGGAGAAAAAGAGAGAAGAGAAAGAGGCAGGGAATGAAGCTTTCTGGTAGTGGCAGTGTTTTCACAGCAGTAAACACTCGAGCAGCAATGACGTTGCCTGTGTGCTGGCATCCATAGATGGGAAACGCAGGCTACGTCTGGCCGGCTCTATGCTGATTCTGTACTTCTTCCCCATTTGGAATGTTTGCACTCGAAATGCTTTCCTCTGGCATGTTCTCTAATGCCTTTAAAGTAATGTTCTGCCATTCACCTTCTGCCTTAGCTTTACTGACCAAACACGGACACAATCTTGTAAAAAAAAATCTTCACTAGCCACTGAGAGTCTACATAGCTCTGTTATCTTTGGCTCCTGGTCTGCTTCTTTTCATATGACATGGTTTTACTGCCCCTCACAAATCAGTGATCCCATGACCTGAAAATATTGGAAGGTTCAAAGCAGATGAGAAGCAGTTTCCATTTTATGGGAGACTAATACTCATGAACATTTTGGGGAAAACAGTAGAAACAACCCTCCCCTTTCTAAATAAATTAGCATTATGAGAAAGTTAATGCCATTAAGAACAAACAAAAATTCTCTTAATTAAAGCATTATACTAATTTGGATTAAATTAATATGTACTCTCTAACTATAAATGAGAATTTATTACTTTCCAAGTAAAAGATGGATTTAATCTTTTAGAAAGTTTTCATTTATAATGGATTCATGTTATATCATTCAACCTTCCTAATCTTTGCAGAGGCCATTATCTTCCTAAACTGGGAACCTTGAGGTTATCTACTACTCTCAGGTTTATCAAAGTCATATGGGATCTTCATATACTAATTTCCTCCTTTTATCTGTTCCTTTAATTTAAGAGATATGACAGAGTAAATAAACTTTTTAAAAGTTAGGAAGTAGAAAAGTTCAGAGTTTATAACAAACATAAATAGAAACAACTTATTCTGCCTTGTTGGCCACTTAAATTTATATTTTCATTTGTTCATAATCTTGCTGATAAATTTCAAAATCTCCTTGGCCACAAATATCATGCAGGGAGTCCCTAATACATCCTTCCCTTCTCTCTACTCATCCTTGAAGACCCAGGCTTTCTCTCTCCTCTAGGGATAAACAGTCCCAACTTTTCCTCTGCTCCTGTAGCTTTTTTGTAGATCCTTGTACTAAAACAGGTAAGAAATTAAGCATTTGTAAATCTGTTCCCTCCACTAGACTATAAGCTCCTGGAGGGGCGGACTTTGTTAATACACCCAGTACGGCAACCAGCATGTACAGACATTCAACAAATATTTGCTAAGTTAAATGGAAATCTAAGACTTCAAGCTCTGGTGCCATCAATAATCCTTGTAATTGATGATAGCAATAATTATCACTTTCTGTAGTAATTAAACATTGTAGACTAGATATGCTAGAATTCTCTATCAGTTGATTACACCTTCTACCAGAGATTTCAGCATGGACAGTCTCCTCACATCATCCCTTTTGTTCTCCTTCAAACTTCACTGAGAGTTTATTTTGCTTCAAACACTTTACCTTCTTAGGTTTAAATCATGTTGATGGGATTCTGTCATTAGGATGTGAGCTCCCAAAGACTGTATATTTCTATTGATCCAGCGCTGTGTAGGCACTAATGTACTCATTTTATGTGTATTTATTATTACAACTCTACTGGAAAGAGTTCAAAGAATGCAACAATTCTGCAAAATCACATGCATTTCTCTTCATTATGGAAAAACACAGAAGAAAGAATAACTAATAGTACTTTGGTCTACCAGAAAAACTAAGACATTCGTATTCCAGTTGTGTTTGATAATGGTAATCTCAAGCTTATATACATAAGTACCTAAATGATCTGAAAAATATAAGATTTATATGCATGTCAATTATTCCAGCAACACATTGACAATCTATTACCCTAAGTGAATCTCAATGTATAGAACTGAAAAATATAAGATTTATATGCATGTCAATTATTCCAGCAACACATTGACAATCTATTGCCCTAAGCGAATCTCAATGTACGGAAGTAAGTCCAGTCTTCTATAATTGCAATTTTTGAGAAAGTTATGTTTAAACATATCTATTTATGTTTAAGCTTATGTTTAAAACCAGAGTATTTCTACAGGTCGAAAATTTGTTCCAGTGAAGAACAGACTTCTTCATATTTGAACCAGATGATTTAATCGAGTGTTTAACAATGATAGGAATAGCTCTGCTGAAAATAGCCTAACTATAAAACACATGATCACAGAAATATTTCTATGATTTGACATAGCAGTAGTCTAGCCAAAGGAGCATAGTGTTACTTCCTGATTTAAGAAAAGTAAGTCAGAGTTTCCGTACTTTTTCATTTTTACCTTAATCTATAAGTACAGACATAAGAGATACCACTTTCCAAAAGACTTTTTCCAAAAACCCTTTATGTTGAAACAGTTAAATTCCATTTTGATTCTACTATGAAATAAGAGCTCTAAGGTTATATATAAGGTAATTCTAAAATGAGTTCTTGGCCAAAATTGTTTTCCTTCTTCAAAACCCATAATTTTTCCTTCTATGGGTTAAGGGGTAAATTTACCTTGATTCTAGAACTTGATAATTTGAAGCTATTTACTAAATGATTTTTGGACAAAAATTAGTAATATAAAACAGAACCTAAAAGAATATACATTATATAGCCATAATGATCACTTACTATAGATAAAGGATAGGGAAACTAAAAGATGTTTTACTTTTTAGGCGTTTAAGAAAATGTTTTGGAACTCAGCTTTTCTCTGCCAAGATATAGATTTCCACCATGCTAAACTGGGCTCTCTTAAACACAAAATATAAAATTCGCTGCATGTCCAAGCCACAGATACAGTGTATGAATCTGAATAGTATTGCTATGTATATGTTTTCTTGGTCAAGCCGAGAACCTTAATAGTCTTTATAGTTCAGGTTAAAACAAGTGACTTTGCTTTAATTTTGCTCTCACGTAACAGCTGGAAATCACCATATATGACTGCTGCATGGGTTGTTTTCCTCACCTCAGCATGTCAGATTGTTAAGTTACATAAGAGATGTATATATTCACATGAAGGCTCTCTCTATGAGTCCCCTAGCAGTTATGATGGAAAAGTAAAAGCTGTGTTAATTGGGTGGTCAGGATGAAGAGGAGGGTTGTTTACCCACACTGTGTATCTGCTTATGTGTGTGTTTTAAGGAACTATATGGTGTCACAACTCAACATACGGAAAAACAGAAATATGAAATCCAGAGATATCACAAGACTCAAGAGTGAAATTCCACTTTACTTGAGATTTTTCAGAGCCTTCTTTAACTGGCAGAACACCAGTTCTTTAGATGAATAGTCTTCTTTAGAGTTTAGATCCCTTACTTTCAG